TCATGCGTGCACATCTGCTCACAGACTCATGTTCATGTTTGTGCTGATGTTCAATGTTTTATGTTATGAGTGCTTAGTGTATATTTAGTTGATGTTTTTCTTAGTTCATATCTTAGATGTTATTACTGTTTTTCTTATACATTTTATTGTTGGATGGAACTGGGACCCCGTGTACATAATTTCGCTCCACCACATGTACCACATGAGGTGCGAATGACAATAAAGAAACTCTGACTCTGACTCTGACTAAGTACTAATAAAAACAGTGCACCGAACAACAGCAGCACGGACATCTTTAAGTGAGCAGATGAGTATAAATGAGCACAGCAGCATGATATCAGCAAGATAGTCAGCAGTTCATATCAACAATCAAGTGGTGTTGCAGTGAACTTTTTCACAGTGATAATTCTGATTAGGGTTAGGGATTATGAGTCTAACAGAAAAAAAATATATAAAATTGTAAAATGTATTTTTTTATGGCAGGCTCACCATTATTATATGTATATAAATAAAAAATAGTTATTTCAGGACGATTTAAAGCAAAAAAATAGGGGAAATCTGACAATTTGCATTGCAAATAGCAGCGTTACCTAACCATCCAGGCGGCTCTGGGTTGCCAGGTAGTCTAGCTGACTATCACACTTTCTGATTATTTGCGAGTGTTAGCAAGAATAAAAACGAGCTATTTTATACGGTGCACAAAACAGACAAAGCTCTCGTATATTTGGACTTTATAAAAACTACTGATCGTGCATTGCATAAGCACTAACACAGTCGTATAAATACGATATATACCGCATATCTGGCAACCCCGCCTCCCTTTATGTTAGAAGCACAGCCAGACAGACAGGAGGAGGAAAAGGAGGAGGATGGAGATCCTGGAGGAGAAGTAACTCTCTTCAAAGCATCCGCTTTCGTCTTTTCCACCAAACACCGGAGCTTTAATGGAGAAAGGCGATGATGTAAGTCTGAAAATGTGAATTTTCACTTGGGGAAGCGGCTGCTACGGTCGATGCTGAGTTGGCTGTTTTCTTATTTTTTGGCTCTCGCTGAGGAGGAAGAAGAGGTAACTGCTATTCTCGGTAACAATGAGCAGTTAATACGCTTTATGTTCGTGCACCGACCATTGCACGGGCCGCTGCTTGTCCGCGCACGGCGAGTCCTCGGTGTCCAGTCAACAGTTTGCCGTGACACACTTCTAAAATCCCGTCTACAGAAGCCGCTTTCCAGCACATAGACGGACCCCACGCCCTTATGTTAATCGCTGCGAATTGACACGGTTGGAACTCTGTGCAATCCTGTCGTTTCCGTCTGACGCAGACATTGACCCGCTCACTGACGGAGTCATGGTTTACAAAAAGACAGCGACCAATGTGTGTCAACGAAGCGTGCCAGGACATAGACGGAGCCCACACACCGCTCCGTTATACGGCACTGTGGCTTTGTTTTAAGGGAGCGCTAAATAATAATAAAAATTAAAAAAAACACGCTACTTATAGAATTGAACGTAGAAAATAATCAATTCGTAGTATTAGATTGGTCATAAATGCATACTTGCCACAGGAACTAGACGTTACCTCACAGAGTGTCAGGTTATAGACGGATGTTTTGTAACGCTGCGGTGTCGGTTTGATCAGGGCTGACGCGAAGAAAAACTATAGCGTCGTTTTTAACGCTATTCTGCAAGACCTGTCAGGAAATAGACGAGCCCTGCTTTCGTTAGGTAGCAAAAGGAAAGAGGCCGGGGAACTTATCAGACAATTTTACTTTGTATTAAAATAAAACTTGAATTAGTTATTAAAAAAAAAAAAACATTTCCATGTGTTTGAGTAAATTTGTGCCAACATGTATGCAAATCTAATCTTGTAGTGGTGAATACATTGTAGATATGTTGCTCAAATAAGACTAAAACTATTAGATAATTTCATTTTCATTATAAAGATATAAAGAGACAATAAATGAATAACTGCAATTTGTTTTTGAGCAACCTCTCAGGTTCTTTTAGCTCTTAAACATTGATGGTTCCGATGTTATAAAGTCCCCATGGAAAGGTTATGATTAATTAATGTCTTACCTGTTCCAGATAGCTCTTTGAAAGACCTCATTTAGAGCAGGAGTTCTTAAACTTTTTGGGTTCAGGGACCCCCTCATAACCCTCATGTTTATTAAATAGTTTTCTTCAATTTGTCTCTTAAAATGCAATGGAAATATTTGTGTAACATAAATACTTGAGACCTGTTCTTTAATAGTGTTAATACAGTGTTTATACTTTTAAACATGGGGTATGTTTCATTCAAGACACACTTAATTAACACAGTTTTTTATTTTAACTTCCAAAGATTAGTTTTGAGGAAATTAACAGCATCAAAAACCACTTTAAAACTTTACCTATTCATGTAATGAACCTGAACAGAATCGTAACAGCAGTAGTCAGACCAAGCATGATCTCTAGGTCCTGCAGGAACCGGAGACTGACTGACTCCGGGGGGGGGGGGGGTGGGGGGGGGGGTCCTCCTCCCCCAGAAAAATTTGAATAAAGTAGATGTGATTTCCTGCACTGTATTTTAACCGGTTGTTAAACATCTACGTGCTTGTAAAAATATATATATGTATTTTTTAAATTTATTTTTTAGGGGGGGAGA